CTTCAATATCATTTCTATAGATTCTTGTTACACGTAAACAAAATATTATATTCAGACAATAAAAAGCGGATGAGAAAAAAAAATAAAAATGGTCGGAATTCCTTGAGCATTGCCTATAAAGAAATACCAATAATAATAAAAGAATTTCTGCGACTGAACGTGCCCTGAAGACTATATTTCGAGGTGAAGATCGACCTCCAGCCTTCTTCAATAATGTCAAATAACCACGGAAGTTTTATTACTTCTGGCATTATTCAGAGAAACATCATATACAGAGAGAGACATGGCTTGATAGGTAGGTACTACATTTTTTGTATCTGTGCGTCGTAATTCGTCAGACATAGTATTGCGAGAGTAATTTTCAGCAAACGAATCAGAAATTCACTAGTGCCATTTTAATATTTGTGTATTAATCTGAAAGTTTTAATATAATGCCATTCAAGAACTCCAGATAGCAGAACTACTTAATGTAACAGGGTTATAAAGATATTTCGGAATACTTGCAATCATCATCAACCTATTAATGTCCCCAATACTGGGGCTCCATTGCGAAAGTTGCTTAACTTTCACGATCGCAGTTCACTATTGAGCTTCTCAAGTACATAATAAGTGATGACATGAAAATGACAGTTAGAGTAGCATTTATTATTGCTGAACATAGATTTACATTAATACCCACACACAGTTTCCTAAATATCATACAATTACTTTATACAGATACCCGCACTGAATAAATACAGTAACAGGTACCACTAACCCAAAGGTTAAAGTAAACATTGTACCCGACAGTGTAGCCTTTAGGAAATATCAATAGGGGTTGGATTCGGACATCTGTTTTGTTTGACTTACTAATGACCGACAAACGCACTACGTATTAATCAGTATGTTTAAATTTTCTAACACTAAATAAATTACCTCATTTTCTTAATGGAGCCACATAACGTAACAAATTTGCATTTTAATGTTGAACTTGGGAACCCCATGAAAAATAATTGAATATTCAACTTAATTTTTCGTTTTTAACTCAATATGTACTCTCTCTCACTCATTCCGTTTACGATCAAAAACCGTAACCAGTCCCCGTAGCATGATCACCACAATTTACATTTTATCATGTTTTTATCGCGTCTAACTGTCAAACTCCATAGTAATTTGACAATTGTGCGTAATAAAAACGCGTTATATATCATGTCGCGGTTCTCATACTAGGGGGGCAGCTTTACCAGAACGTTACTTCTGTAACATTTTGCGTAACTTTTAGCCGAAAGCCGCGTAATGTTGCTCTCTGATACATGCGTATCTTAAAAGCTTTAAATACATATTCTATTGAAGCATTCGCAAAATTCTCTTATTTACCCTAAACTAATCCTCAGTATGAACAAATATCAATATTACTAAATGACAACTTTAGCTTAAGTTGCTTTATTGCTGATTTCTGCGAAATGTTAATTACATAAGCAACAAAAGAAATAATGAGGCACTCCGATTGTTACGAATGGAGGGCTAAAGAGGAAGTTCAAGTGAATTTCGTCAATTACTCTTTACCATTCCACTGAAAGGCTCTCAATGCTGTCGTTACGATCCGAGTTTTCCCCGAGATGAATGAGATTCGTTATAACCGGTGGCGTTAGTACACAAAGATTGTGATCTTATGGGAGTAATATCTTGCTTTGCGTCTTCCGTCATCGTTTAAAGTAACAGGTGTTCTTTATTTTCTATTTTAGACGATTAGAGATTCTGATAGTTTTACGGACAAATAAATGACTGTCAAAAGTTTTTATTTGTGCTTCTCCACTACTGGAGGTTGGCCGTCAGCTTTGCCTATTTTTCTTTGTCTCGTTCCCGACGAAATAGTTCTTCCAAGCTGGCGAGACCTGTCCACTCTCTGATGATGTTGTTTCGGAGCTACGGCTTCTTCGTTCTATCGATACGTATTTTCTTTTCGACAGAAGTTATAGTTTTCCTGAAAATCGCGATAAACCATTTCACCCCTTAAAAGGCCCCAGCTTTCGCGATCTCCAATCGTCCGTAATTGACTTTTCCTCTTTTTTATGTGTTCTCTTCTTTTTGGTATGAGCTACATACTGTACCGATTTTTTTTGTTCTATAAAATTATTGGCTCTGCTCTATCTAGGATTTATCATAAACTGGAGGTTCCGACAGGCGTTGTCCAGCCCCATAAAACTTTAAATAAATAGCAAAATCCGACTGCAGCGTCTGAGATGTAAGTTTCTTTATTTCCTTTTCCTACTAATATTATAAATGTGAAAGTTTATTTAATTGTATGTATGTTAACCATCGCGCAAAAACTACTTAACGGATATGGATGTAGAACACTTGTAGTTTATGACCTGGTTTGAGATATAAGATTCCCGTGGAATTCTGAAAAACACTAAAGGTAACGCGGACGAAGTCGCGGGCGGCCGCTAGTTCATAAATAATTTCTATGAACTTTTAGTGAACTTTAAGACCAGTGTAAATTTAGTATGGACGAAACATTTGAGAATTGGAAATGCAAGATGAGATATAAGTTGTACGGTATCCAATTTTCTGGTGATCGACATTGCTCGGCTTTCTCTAAATCCAGCCTAGCAATCAATATGTGACTATTTAAGATTGGCGATGGACGTTTCGATACGTATACTGAGATTTAGACCACAGGAGAAAATTTAGAAACCCTGGACTTGGTTCCCATAGTAACGCTAAACTAACATCAACAACCACACTAAGCTAACACCGGCTTGGGACAACAGAAGATGTCGCTCGTATGACCAATTCCCAAGCGGCCCTTATTAGAGCCAACAGACAATAGATACTGGAAATTCTGTAAGCGGACAGAATGTCCAGTGTTTGCCAATTGAATATTGAAAGCTTAAGCTGCGCAAAATGTGACGATGTCCACAGAGGCGACGTGAAAGGAGTTTACGGAGCCGCAGCTAGGTGTACTGTGGCTCTTGACAGGTTACGCGACTTGCATATAAGTTATAGCCAAAGTTACCTACAAACAAATTAAATGCCATATGATCAAATAAATCTGGACTCACAACAAATTTTAAATCAAATATGTTTGTGTGCAATGTTTATGTGCAAGAACGATAGTCGCACCAAGTAACGTAATCATTAGCAATATCAAAACTGATACTTTGAAAAACGGTGCGTGCGCAAATAAACCTACGTTTTGCACATAAGCAAAGCTGCGCGGAGCTTAGCAGTGTCTTAAAAAATAACCAATCGCATTGCTCAATAAGAAGAATAACATTTAAATGTATAGCGTGCGGAGTTAAGCTGGGCAGAGCGGAGCGTTGTCATGCTAAGCGAGGCGGAGCGGCGTGGAGCCGACCGTAGTTGAGCCTTGCAGAGCTGTTGCATTGCTAAATTTAATTGTTTAACATATTGTAAAAAAAATGAAATGCAACCACAACTCCGCTCAGCTCATCTTCAATCTGCTCCACTCCGCTCATTCCCACTTCACATAGCTCCGCTCAGCTCTGCATAGCTCATACGACTATTTGCATAGCTTCAATGAATACATTCGCCTATTACACGGCTCTGCTCTGCTCAATGCCGCACAGCTCTGCTTTTTGTGGAAACAAACCGTAAATGTGTTGAAATGTAGCAATATTTACTATAATGGAAGTTCATATCATGCTGAGTTTCTTAATTTTTTTTAACTATCGTGTCCTCACATATGAATTGAAATTAAGCGCACTAGTTATATTGGGCGAAATATAATAATATGAACTACGTAATGAGAAGGTCTACAACATAGTATATAACAGCAAGCTAGCAACATGGTAAATAATGCTCTTTTTTGTGCTCATTATAGCATCAACCAAGTACAATAAAAGTGAATAAGAGGTGTTAAATAAGGAATCTTCAGTTCCGGGCGAGGCAGACTGAACTAATAAATGTATAGATTTTTTTTTGGAAAGTATATAATATATCTTGAGGAGCTCGATGGCGCCAGTGGTTAGCGCGTTCGGCTGCGGTCGTTGAAGTTGAGCAACTTTCGCAGTGGTCGGTCATTGGATGGGTGACCAAAAATTTCCTATCTCGAGCTCCTCCGTGCTTCGGAAGGCACGTTAAGCCGTTGGTCCCGGCTGCATCTGCAGTCGTTAGCACTCACCAACCCGCACTGGACCCGCGTGGTGGGTCATGGCCCAATCTCCCTAACCCATCCATAGGGAAGGCCTGTGCCCCAGCAGTGGGGACATTAATAGGCTGATGATGATGATGATATAATACATTTTCACCTGACGGATCCAACTGACCAACAATCAAAATTTGATAACAAAATCGAAATAACGTGAACGAGGCCGCGGGCAAAAGCTAGTAAGTATATGTTTTATATTTAAGTCAATGCAATCTTAGATTTACAGTTATTGCGGTATTTATTGAATTTAAAATCTTTACTTTATCGCACAATCCTTCAAGTCTGTTGAGGAAAACAACTTAATGGACAATCGCCTCACAATAGGTTCCAAAGCTATTTTATATTAAGCCTTTGTGCCCGTTTTCCTTTGGGAAAGAGGTGCCTGCCTATGAGCGGATAAAGGTTGGATAAAACGGAGTAAACTAGTTTTTCCCTTTACTATGAAAACTCCGGTCATCATAGGGTGCTTTGATTACGAGTTTGAAATTTCAAACTTGAAATGAAGTTAATTTCAATACAGATTTGTGTAACGGGGATTTACTTACTTTTTCGCACTTCGTTTGATTTGTACATTTAAAACAAGACAAGAAAATCACTTTTATTCTTACTATTACAGTTATTTGTACTGTCCGCCTTTATTAAAAAAAACTGAGATACAACTAAAAACGTATCGCAAACGTGAGCCAGTATCATGTAAAATTATATTTGCACCTTTGCCAACCTTTTAGATTGTATTTTATTGCCCATTGCTGCTATATTTATGTTATTCCACATGACATATCGAAGTTTATTTTTTTACTATCGTATTTCGACACAATAAAAACGGACATAAATTTAAAATCCTCACCTGTATAACATCCTCTCCTGTCTGTCAGCTTCCACATAAATTCTATAGTACATATACAACATTATCACACCAGGGATCCAGAAACTAACACTACTCGATATCACTGCATACACTTTGTTCACAGTGAAACTGCACACTTTTGGGAATCGCTTCCTAAAATCCATGTGGTCTTGAGTCGTATACCAGCCCATGAATATCGGGAGAAAGGAGACCAACGCTGGGCTGCACCAGACGACGGCCAACATTATCCCCAGTTTACCCGTTGTCATAATCAGAGGGTAGTCCAAAGGTTGAACGATGGCATAGTATCTATCCACGCTGATGCAGCACAGGTGTAAGATGGACGCGGTCGAGAAGTAAACGTCGAGCGAATTCCAAACATCGCACATGAAGTAGCCGAAGAGCCATTTTCCATTAGTGATCTCTACGCTGAAGTTGAAACACATCGCCCAGATGGCAACGAGCATATCGGCGAACGCGAGCGACACGACGAAATAATTTGTGATCACCCTTAACTTTCTGTGTCTCATCACGGAGACTATGACTAGTAAGTTGCCGAATATCGCCGCCAAAATGATGAAGAGCATGATCAGACATTTTAAGATCACCAGGAACACTACAAACGGCTCGTCTTGGAACTGGTTGCTGTATACAAAGTCGCTGCTACTTTCGTTTACCTCTAAGCTCTTATTCACGTAGCTGTCCGTTAGATACATTGATGTTGATAGCTCTCTATCGTCCAACGTAAAATTGTCAACTGTGTTAATATTAAATACTTCCAGTTTCATTGTTCACATCGTGTTTCTCGTGATCGGTTAAGTCAGGTTTATCTCTTTTGTTAGAGTGAAAGAGTTCGTTGTATGTAGATTACGCTTGACACAATCCCCCATTATGTTCTCTCTCCGCTCCAGTTACCTATAAAAGAAAATGTTTCAGTGAGAATCTTTCTGGGAAATAATGTTGTTCCGCCGGTTAGCACTCGAATAGCTGGCAAATGATTTTATTTCGTTTTGGTGTTTCATCGGGATTTTTAAAAGCAAAAATGTGTCGGTAAATATTTTTGAATAAAACATGCTACTTTATTGCAATACTGATTTGGCAAACGAGATGTGCTATTGTTATTTTAAGGTACTTAGACTTTTTTTTATATTATTTTATGGTTTGTTTCGTTGTCACTTAAATCAATCAAAGCATCCAAGAAAATGGATTTCTAGAAAATTTCGAAACACTGTCATTTTAACTTGGAATGATTTAATTTTCAAGGGCCATAATTCCAGGTTCTTGTCTAAATAAATAAACATTTGCAAAATATTAAATAACCCTATGTATTTTTGTTTTCATAAATATAACATAATACTGTGTAAAGTATTATGAACTATTTGGTTCTTAGGTTTTCACGCACATCACTCATTAAATAAAACTAGTTTTAAAGGGTTAATGCACGAAACTTTATTTATTTATTGACGTTTCGCATCTTTTCAGGCTGCTTCGTCAGAATGATTTTTTATTTTCTTATGATTAATTTAATGATTATGAACTAGTCAAAAACAGTTCGAAGAGAACTCAATCTTTTAGAATCATCTAAAAATAAAATGTCGCTTTATAACTCCTCTCAAAAATAAACTCCTCATAAGAAACGATTAACTTGAAGTAACAAACAATATGTAGATTTTTTTTATTGGTGACTCAATAAGCTCTTGAAATTCTCTGTACAAACAATTCATATGTGTATGATTTTTTGAAAGCGCATGTACTAAAAGAGAAAACGCTTCAAAGACTCATAACTTGTTTGATGTCGTTTTCATGCCTCTTATGAGCTTCTACGCAAACATAAAATATATATTTTCTTAGCGAAATTCACGAGAGAGACGCAGTATGCGACTTTCTTACAACTTTTAATAGACGGGAAACTTGTTCTATCTTAGTTTCTGAGAAGTATGTGTGGCTTCCTTGCGCTGCGAATTTCATTTTCAATGCTACTCTTAAAAGACCCTGATAAAGTCTTCTTGTAACTACTAACTTAAATTGGTCTCAACTGTACCTACATCCCTCCTTAAGGAGTTTCAAATGTGTTGGAAATTTACTAAGTTTTTGTTTAATGGTTTTTGTATAATATGGACGGCTTCGTGGCAATACTACAATGCGCCCTCATCGCAATTTCTGAGGTCACTGACCTTCTTAATACAAAAGACGTCGAAAATAATTTACAGAACACAAATTTATTTTATTGAGTAAAATAATGGCATTTTTATTGAGCCGCTCTGTATGACACTAATATATGTTCATTTGGCAATTTATCTTGATACTGTTAAATATAGTTTTATAAAATATTTGTGCCGAATATGAAACTATCCCGGACCCTTAGCAAATTAGTCAGTTCAGTCTAACGCTAGTGACTGGTCATATGTAATTACACATGACCAGTCACTGACTGCAAATCAGTTGAAAGTGGCGTCCAAAAACTAAAGAGAACAGAAGTTTTGAAGTATGCCATATCAATTAACACTATGCCAGTCTCGAGTCAACAATCAACATTGATTTTACTCTAATTTGGAGTCAGTAAATAACCCCGTATTAATTAATCTGACTCAATGACCGTTAAGTCTGAAAAATATCCAAAACATCACCAAAGCACATGAAAATTCTTTGACATTTTTTGTTCGTGTTTTGTTTGTCCTGACCCCTGCTGCGTGGAGGTCTGACTTCAATAAATATGAAAAATTTGCTTTTCCGTGGATTTCTCAGAGAGGTATTCGTGCAGGAAATCCGCTGTGTCCTCTCTTGTGTTTTAAGAGAGGACACAGCGGATTTCCTGCGCGATTAGATTCCAGTAAACAGCTGTAGAATTATACAAGTTATACCCAATACAAATAACACGTTTTTTTTTGATACTGATGACACAGCAAACAAAATGCAGGTGAATAATTATTGTATATTATATAATGCACTTAATGAAATATGTAATGAAAGGTGACTTCATTAATCGTCTCATATTGAAAACATTTTTCAACTTGACGTCTTTAAGTATAATAATAATACGCGGAAAACAAAGTCCCTGCTGAGTTTCTTGCCGGTTCTTCTACGAGGTATCCCCGATAGCTTAGTGAAATTCATAAGAACTTAGTAGATATTAATTGCAGCCTTGCAGCTTAAGAATGGCTAGAGGAATTTCGACGCGGTCCGTGAGGGCCGCGGTAGCATAATTGGTCAGTGCATTCGCCCGGATTGCGAAGGGTGCGGGTTCGAGTCCCGTCTGCTGCCTGGTCCGCGTGGAATTTTTTCTAGTTATATTTTCTTTAGATTTAAACATCAAGCAGTTACATGCTTTAAAATAATAAAAAATATAACTATAATTGCTATTTCTTCTTTCAAATGTTTAATACTTGTAAAAGTATTCATTTGACATTGTGGGTTACCTATAATTCGAAGAGATGGCGCTGCCTTGCAGCTTAAGAATGGCTCGAGGAATTTCGACGCGGTCCGTGAGGGCCGCGGTAGCATAATTGGTCAGTGCATTCGCCCGGATTGCGAAGGGTGCGGGTTCGAGTCCCGGCTGCTGCCTGGTCCGCGTGGAATTTTTTCTAACTTAGTAGATATTAATTCGAAAATAAATTGAAATTTATTTTCGAATTCTTTTTTTGTCTTTATTACATATATACAATGTACAAAAAGATATTAAATATAAGTTATGACAACATACGATCATTATGGACCTTGTCGGCACGCAACTAAATGAGAGATAGAAGAGTGGAGTTACATTCATATTTCTATGTTCATTTAAAGATTGAAAGAGTTAGGTAATGAATGTCACTTTATGTAATTTATAAATTAATTAAGTGAAGATAAAATCCATTATATTTATATAAACAAATAATGAATAATATATTATTAAGAAATAATTAGTAATAAATATTTTTTATCCCTTAATGTCAAGTTAAATAATATTTATGTATGTATGTTTGTGTGTATAATTGTTTATTTCTTTTTTGTGTACCTTTCATTTTATTGTCATTTTGTACATAATACCTAAGCTATAATAATAATAGCTACTAAGCTATTTACTTAAGTTTGTCATTCAAACAATCATTAATACTATAGTAACACTTCTCGATGAATAACAGTTTTATTTTTTGTTTATAAATAGAATGTCATCAGTTTCGTTTTTTAATGGGGGATTATCTTATACTTTTGAAAGTACGGTCTACAGCTTTCGGTATTATCTATGTTTGCAATAATACGGATTAGTTTTTTCTGCAATGTAAATAAAGCGTCTGTGCTTTTCCCCCACAAGATGATACCATAGTTCAACCAAGAATGCTTATATGCTTAGTAAGTTACAATTGCCGTTTCCACGTTAGTAGTCATTTTAACTTCCCGAAGTGCATAAGAAAAGCTCGATAACATATTTTTTTTTTCAATGTGCTTTCCATTTAATATGCCTGTCTATGACTATACCTAATAAAGAAAAATCCTTAACACAATCTAAAGCTTTGCCCATGTAATTCACTGTCAATTTTAATTCTTTATTTTGATACGGGTGGAAGGTCATTACTTTTGTTTTCGCTACTTTTATTTCAAGATTGTGGTCATTTTACCAGTCGGTAGTTTTAGCTAGGATCGCGTCCAGTTTTTTGTTAATGTCGGTATTATCTTCGCAATAAGTTAGTATGGATATATCATCTGCAAATAATACACATGGCTCCTCAATAGTTTTAGGAAAGTCGTCTTTATTAATTAAGAACAATTACCAGCCAGCCACACTTCCCTGGGGTATTGATGCATTTAACGCTGCAGTCGGGGTATACATGAGTGTATTTTTTAGATATTTTATCGCTCATCATTACAAATGGTTTTCTATTTCGTAAAAAAGATGAAAACCATTTATTGTACAATTGTTTTTATGTTCCACCCAATCGTAAGATAAATAAAGCATTTGTTTCTATATGTCCATATATATATTACGCACGCATGGGTTTCCATATTCTAGTTGTGAATTTCGTTTCCAATTTGGCCTCAATCGAGTTTAGCGTTCGGCCGCCGCGAGCAGAAAATAATCCGTACCTTTATTTACAAGGATTATCCCACACGAAAGTGCTGTTCACATTCACAGCAATATTATGTGTATTATTAAGTTTCATACTGCAAATAGTTTTCGGAATCTAATGAATTTCATACACATATGGATGAAAATCAATTTTCAATTGTTCAAGCCATGCTCAAGTTATGGTGGGACATCAATTTCCAATCGATAAATTTCAGTGATTCATCATCATTTTCTTATTTTGTTTATTTATAACGAACCGTATAATTCGCTAACTTACACGTAAATTTATGGCTTGGAGACAGGTGTTGTACTCTTAAAATTGATGCGACGCGAAACAATTTAAAATTCGGCGATCACAATATTATCAACAAAGTAGGCTTGAAGAGTAGAGAGACGCTGCCCATAATTACTGAATTCCAAAATAAAGAGTAAAAATAGTTCTACCTGACACCATCGTGGTTTTTGAAGCGCTATAGTAAATACGGTTGTCAACTGTTCGGCAGGTGTAAGCAATAACAACTTTCGGGTAGAGGGGTCAGAATAGACACCGGCGCGAGTGGTAGTGAGGCGAAGCTGGCGAACAAAATTAAGTATAATTTCATAAAATAAAAATTTATAAGAGCTGTATTAACTGAATGACATACCTACAGTGAATTTTTGGCATGGTTTTTAATTTATAAATTTAGTAATTTTAACACTGTTTTATGTGGTTTTGATTGAAAATTATTTGAGATACAAATTCAATGGGAATGGCAGTTTGAGCAGATGCGTCTTTATACCGTTTTGTTCGCCAGCTCCTCAGTTTTGATATCACTAGTGTCCATAGGCTTTGGTGGTCGTTTACCATCAGGCGGGCCATATGCTTTTAGAA